GTCAATGTTGAGGGTGAGTTTGTAGGCAATTAGCCAGAGATAGACTTTATTTAGCCCAGTATTCACTGTGACATTTAGAGCAAAGGGGTCAGGACTGGAGTAAATGAAGGTTGTGCCGTCAGCAAATAGAATTTGTTTGAGATGTTGGGAGGCATTTGGAAGGTCATTAATGTAGATGAGAAAGAGGAGAGGGCCAAGTATGCTGCCCTGAGGAACACCAATGTTGATGGGTAGGGTGGGAGAAATTGAATTATTCACAGAAAAATACTGGAGCCTGTCAGTAAGGTAGGATTTGAGGTATTGCAGGGCGTGACCTCTGACTCCAAAATGATGTAATTTAAGAAAAAGGTTTTGGTAGATGACAGTGTCAAAAGCCTTACACAGGTCCAGAAATAACCCAACAGGGAACTCATTTTTATCAAGAGCTGCATGTATCAAGTTAATCATACTGATAAGTGCATCGTTAGTGCTTTTTTTGGGTTTGAAGTCATATTGACAAGAGCTAAGTATATTGAATTTGGCTAGATTAGAGTAAAGCTGCCTGTAGATTAGTTTTTCAAATATTTTTGACAAGTTTGGCAGAATTTATATAGATCTGAATTTGTTGACATCAGTGAGATCACCACATTTGTGGGCAGGGGTTTCTCTCGCTTTTTTAGAATATCTGGAAAGATTTGTAGTTCAAGTGACATGTTGAAGAGCAATGCAATGGCAGGAGCTAAAGATCTGGAGGCTTTTTTGTAAATTAGAGTTGGTATATCCTCAAGGGCACTGGACTTGGTTTTAAGGGAAAGGATTATCTCATTAACATCAGTGGAGTTAGCAGGCGTTAGGTACAAAGACTGTGGATGGTTACCTATAAGATAGTCCTGAACATTAGTATTGGAAGATGGAATATCATTTGCAAGGGATGACCCAATGGAAGAAAAGAACCTATTGAACTCAATAGCAGTATCAGAGGCTGAAAGCAGACCATCGTTATTGGACAGGAGTATTGGTTTGTTATTTAAAATCTTCTTTGGTCCCAATATTTGTGAAATTATGCTCCATGTTTTCCCTTTGTTTGGGTAAATTTATCGTCGTAGTATTTAATTTTGGTTCTTCTAATTATTTTAGATAGCAATGATGAGTAATTATTTGAAAATTCTTTGGAGACGTTTCCTAACCTATACTTCTTCTCAGGGTCATGTTTTTTATTAATGGATTTAAGTATCCTCCTTTGTAAGCCAAGGATTGTTTAGCCTTTTAGTTGTGACTTGTTTCGTTAGCATAGGACAGTGGGTGTTATAAAGGCTGAGAGTTTTTTGAAGAAATGATTGCACTGCTAGGTTGATGTTCCCTATGTTACCTAATTCGGACTCCCAGTTGATATTAGCAGCAACAGCTATAAAATTGCCTTTAGCAGTTTCATTGTGCAGCCTAAGGCTTATCTCCCTTGTCTTTATAGGTGGTTTATTAATGTTGGTTAGGAGAAATGTGGGGTAATGGTCTGTAGTGCTATCAATGATTATCCCTGAAGTAAGCGGAGAGTTTATGTTGGTCCAGATGTGATCAAGAGCCGTGGTAGTACTATCAGTGATTCTAGTAGGTCTAGTGATTAAGGGTATGAGGAGGCAGGAATTCATACAGTTGAGGAAACTGGCAGCAGGAGGGTTATCAGGCTCGCAGAGGTCAACGTTAAAGTCCCCAGAAATAATTAAGTGGTTTTTGTTTAGTCAGTTCTCTAGTATTAGATTTCTAAGGTCAGAATTAAATTCAGTCACATCAGGGTTAGGAATCCTGTAGACTGCTCCCACAGACAGGACAGCATCGCTACCCTTGACTCTGAAACAGACAAATATATACTCTCCATAAGAGTCTCTAGATTTAATTACTTTTAAGCAAGTCAGTTCTTGGTGGTAGTAAAGAGAAGTACCACCACCTCTTTGTATAGGTCGACAGTTGTGAATAGCTGAGTAGTTAGGTATGTTATAGAGTTGAGCAGTGTCTTCTTTTAACCACGTTTCAGTAAACACAACAAAAGAGAATTTGTTGCCAACTGTTTGAATCAGGGCATTAACATCATCAAAGTGTTTGCTTAGAGATCTTACATTCAAGTTAATTATTGAAACATTGTGATTACACGTTAAAATATTATTTACATCATGTGCTGTATAATACCTGCAATTTTGATCATTAAAGTGATGATTGTCATAGATACTAGATAAGAGGTTAAGGTCTGGGTCTAAAATAGTTTGCATAAGAGGGCTGTTTTACAGAAAGAGCCCAAAATGACAATTATAAAAGAACTAGATATGACAGAAAAAAGAAGAATATATAAAACTATACGCAAAATGAGGTAGGTTGCTTAAAGGTACTTTCAGGTACACTGAAGGTAATAATTTACATTAGGAGACACAGGCAAAGCCAAGACAACACTGGAGCAAGGGTGGTGAGGCTAGGCAACCTGGGTTACAAGGGTGGTGAGGCTAGGCAACCTGGGTTACAAGGGTGGTGAGGCTAGGCAACCTGGGTTACAAGGGTGGTGAGGCTAGGCAACCTGGGTTACAAAGAAAAAGTAGAATAAAAATTCTAAAGTAATATAAACTTAATGGTAATTTAAGACACCATCTTCCATTGCGTGGATGAAGGACGGTGAGTGTATAAATATATAGCCAGGTGCTTGCAGGGCGAGCATCAGCTCCAACTATTTATAGTTGAACTTCGATCGCCGGTCGCCTATTGCATTGGCTTCCGATTTTGCTGCTTAATTCTTACCTCTACTATAACTTCTTTTCTAGAAAGCTCATTTTACTTAAAACCTTTGTAATGAAGGTGTGATTCTTTACACTTCTATGGCTTATTTGAGTTTTTACCTATGTTCTTTTGTTTTACCCATGTTCATGCTAAACAGTTCATTTATGTCAGCTTTATCTTGAGGTTATCTTATCTTGAGATGATTTCGGGGCTTTAGTGTCCCCGCGGCCCGGTCCTCGACCAGGCCTCCACCCCCAGGAAGCAGCCCGTGACAGCTGACTAACTCCCAGGTACCTATTTACTGCTAGGTAACAGGGGCATTCAGGGTGAAAGAAACTTTGCCCATTTGTTTCTGCCTCGTGCGGGAATCGAACCCGCGCCACAGAATTACGAGTCCTGCGCGATAGTCAATGCTTCTATATGTTTTAATAACGTTGCCTAACGTCCCGTTACTTTTCCAGCGTCGTGAGGTCTAACTCCCTCAGCGTTTCCTCGCAGCTCAGTTCTCACTTTATCTTGAGGTTATCTTGAGATGATTTCGGGGCTTAGTGTCCCCGCGGCCACTAAGTCCGGTCCTGGTCGAGGACCGCGGCCCCGTCCTCGACCAGGTCTCCACCCCCAAGAAGCAGCCCGTGACAGCTGACTAACACCCAGGTACCTATTTACTGCTAGGTAACAGGGGCATCATGGGTGAAAGAAACTCTGCCCATTGTTTCTCGCCGGCGCCCAGGATCGATCCCGGACCACAGGATCACGCGTCCAGTGTTCTGTCCGTTCAGTCACCGGCTTCCCCATGGTGCAATCTATATACAAAGCTCTTCAGATTTTCTTGTTTTGGTTTGTTCTTTATTCAGAGCCGAGAATTTCCCATTGGGGTTGCGTATAATAATATTATAGTTTACAACTGATGGATTACCATATCCATGTTCTAGATACCTACACCAATGTATTATCTTTTCATATGCTGATATTATCCGGTTTGTGTGTGTGCCTCTGATAAAAAGCTTGAACACAGCGAAGAAATAGTCAACCTACTCATTTTTTGTGAATTATATAGCAGATTATGTCTACAGATTTTTTTCCTTTTGTAGCGAGTATATTATGTAAATAATATACTCGATCTAATATACTCATCAGCTTAATCAGATTAGCACAAACTCTCCTTAGCACTAATGACAAAACTCCTACATCTTCCCCAATTACAGTTTACATTCCTTCCAACGTACTAACCACTTGGGCTGGACGGTAGAGCGACGGTCTCGCTTCTTGCAAGTCGGTGTTCAATCCCCGACCGTCCAAGTGGTTGGGCACCATTCCTTTCCCCTCGTCCCATCCCAAATCCTTATACTGACCCCTTCCAAGTGCTAAATAGTCGTAATGGCTTGCCGCTTTTCCGCTGATAATTCCCTCCCTCCCTCATTCATTCATTAATTGCACTTGCACTTGTTTGATTAAAGATAAGTAGCCATCTTTTCAGACAATACCTTTAGTTTGTCTCGGTCCCCCCAAGTGAGGTGGCCGGTTATTCCCCTGACTGCACTTGCAGGAGGATGACCTTCAACTTTTGATTATGAGTGTATTCACCTCGGTGTACTCACCTACATGTGTTTGTAGGTCGACCTCCTCAGCCTTGCATTTTTAACAATGAGCTTAATAAAAATGACTTCAATTATTTCTTTTAATTTGTTGTTTAAATTCCATATTGAGTTAGCTTCAATTACTTCCTCACCTAACCTATTCCACTTATTTTAACATTCTTGCGCTTTTACGCTTGTTCTTTATGACGTCTCTGGCTCACTTAAGTCTCTAATTTCCACTATGTATTCTTGTTATGGTAGTCCTCAATTTGACCAATTGATTTTGTCAATTTCCCTTTAAAACTTAAATGTCGATATTATTTAGTTACACTGAGTACACGCGTGTATTGCAAACTTACCGATAACTAATGTTTTTTGTTGATGAGTTTGTGAGCGGTCAGGCTGAGAGTTACAGGAAGTTGCTACTTCTACTCGCAAAACCGTAATGTTTACGAAGACAAATGCTGTACCAACTGTGGCAATTTAAGTCAGAATTTGATGGGTGTTTATAAGATTGATTGATTGATTGATGAAGATTAAGCCACCCAAAAGGTGGCACGGGCATGAATAGCCCGTAAGTGGTAGCCCTTTTGAGCCATTTCCAGTATCAAGAGCTGATACTGGAGATCTGTGGAGGTGCGAGTGCACCCTGCGTGACGGGAGATGTCTCCCGTGGCATTTCCTCTGACAACAACAATAATATAAGCTTCAAGCAGTCGCCTTATCCTAGTGCAATCGCCCCTGCCTCAGAAGCACCCGTGCTCTCGCTGCCACCACCAACATCCTGCTCCGCCGTCATCCTTTCCCAGCGAGTCTCCGTCGGGGTCCATGCCTGCAGTCCCTCTATCCCCCTTTGAAGAAGGTCGTCTTCGGACTTACCTGCAGCAGCTGTGTGACTGGCGTGGGACCAGCAGCTGCGGTCGCCACAGGTGCTGGGGATCAGTCGACGTTCTCCAGCACCTGCTGACCTTGGTCCTCCTGGCTGGCTTAAGTGCTCCTCAGCACGTATTTCCAGCATGTGAAAACTCTACCTTAAGTAAAGTTTTCGGATCGGAGGACATGATGTCAGTGTTACACGAAGCGGATGTCATCGTGGTGGCAGCCATGACTGTCCAAGGCGAAGACTACTGTTTCCACGTGTCTGCTCCAATCAAACCTCCCATATTCAGCGGCAAAATAACAATTGATAAATATCAACCAAAACAAAGAGAGGGTATGGCACGTAACCAAATTCTTTTTCTTAAGAATACCACAAGCAATGGTTATAAACTCTTGCGAGACTCGTTGAAACCCAAGAGACTGACCTCAACCGAAGTGTCCACTTTTCTCGACTGCATAGATTATCATCTAGTCACAGAAGAAGGTAAGTGGGTTTACGTTTATTACATTTATTATGCACAGAAGAACATAATGGGCTCAGGAACTGAAACCTAAAATTCAACTAGATAAGATGCTAATTAATGTACCTAAATATACTTAACTTCAATGTGTAATATTGTACTTACATGTTTGGAAGATGTAGTGCAAACGTTATTCTTTTACCAGCTGCAAAGAGTTCTTCTCATTAAAAACAGCCAGAAGCCAACCCTTTACAGTAGTCGAACGTGATATATATGTGTGCCTGCTCCCATGAAGAATGTAGCCTTCAATCTAAGTACATAGGTATGACGTTGATCAAGCTCACGAGGTGTTTAACCTATCATTTTCAATCAGGTGGCCCTAAAACTCACACGATATATGCTTATGACATCACCCTAACAAGAGAAATGCTGAATAAAAACACTTGTATCTTAGATAAAGCCCAAGATGTGAGGAGATTACAGATTCTTGAAGCACCTGTAACCTGTAAAGATACGTAAAAGTAAAACAACCGACCACAAACACTCAAATAATATAATTATTCAATCTTTCCACCGTGAGAGTGAGAACAAGCCCGGAACGCGAAACCAACGATGACGTCACTGCCCAAAACGCCATGCCCATTACGGTCACCTGATTTCTCATTACCCTATCACCTGACTTTACTTTGAAGACTTAGTTTATTGGCGTATCACCTCACTTTCCCTCTACTATTATTTCTTTCGTCATTCACCTAACATAATTTTGTATGGAACAATTTCCCAGTGTTATAAACCAGATGTTGAACAATATTCATCAGCACCGCTCCTGTGCCAGGTAAGTCCACAACGGGCTCTCCATAGCCCGTGCTACTTGCCCCGCTCCTGTGCCAGGTAAGTCCACAACGGGCTCTCCATAGCCCGTGCTACTTGCCCTGCTCCTGTGTCAGGTAAGTCCACAACGGGCTCACCATAGCCCGTGCTACTTGCCCTGCTTCTGTGCCAGGTAAGTTACGGGCTCACCATAGCCCGTGCTACTTCGAACTTTTTGTTCCCAGTAGTTGAATCTAAAACAACATTTGTAACGGGGGCTATTTATTACAGTATTCATGCCCGTGCCACCTCTTGGGTGACTTAATCTTAATCAATCAATCACTTTGTAACCATTCAAACTCTGCCTTTGATAATATTAACAAGAATTAATTAACTCTCTTGGCGTCAGGCGCAAATATATTAAAAAAAATTTGCTTTGGAGAGTTTAATTGTTCAACTTCCTTCTCATGTGAAGAAATATAGAGAAGATTTACTTTAGAATCAGTGATCTTATCCTTTCTGTCAAATTCAGTAATACTAGTATATATATAATATGTGCTTTCTGTCTCCATCAAAACGAATTAAATTATTTTTTGTAAGGTAAATATTGTTTAACGGAAAAATTTATGTATAATATCAATTTAAATGCTTAAAATTATTAGGTAAATATTATTTGTCTTCGGGGCAATGATTGTATACTTTATATTTATAATTAAGGGTCTGGAAAAAGTGCCTAAGTTACATAGGGTCATGCATGCCGGTAGATATAGTAAGCTCTATATAAACTGCATGGTATATAGTATATACAGTATTTATGATATTAACACATCACAGATTTACAACAACATTGAAGTCAATTGCCATTCCTTTTCCTCCCTGTATCTTTCACAACAAAGTCTGCAGTGTCTTAAATACTTTTTCAGGAAGTATGACCAGTATGCCGGATTAAAGATGTATTTAAATATTGGGCTCAACAAGCGGCAAACACGTATAAACTGTACCGTCTCCTCCCTCCGACAGCTCCCACAGTGGAACTGGTTCATGGTCGGGAAAGTTCCAGCTCCAGTAAGTTCCAGGGAGGGAGCGATGATGACAAGGACGACAAAATTCACTACGAGGTAGTGGAGGGAACACGGGTCTCCCTGTTCTGCAGCCACAGCCGACATGACTTTTTGTTCTCGAAATTCGTTTCACTCTACACTTGGACTCTGCCCACCCAACAGGTACTGATTCGAGGTGATCCGTTTGTTATATGAAACTTTTGCGTTTGAAGTATCAACAATGCTTTGAGTAATGTGAGAACAGCAATAGGTTTTAATGATTAAAAAAACTGTTATAATCTGAATATGAAAGATATAGATTGTGTTTCAGGTAGTGGAGGGCCAATCCGTACACCTCGAGGTAAACAAGACGCAGGCGGGCCACTACACCTGCCGCGCCCGCGTTAACACCCTGATCTCCCCGCCCGCAACCCTCACCATCACTGTCCTCTGTAAATACTTCCGTAACATTCTTAGCTTTAGTTAAGTGCTTGTCTTAAGACCTTTCAACCACGGAAGGCTTAATAAGCCTACTGCAAAAGCTTGCTGATCACCAACAAGTAAACTTTAGGGACGCAAAACAGAATGCAACTGTGGTATACGTACATGGACTTTGCAAAGGCATTTCATAAATGTGATCATAGAGTGATAGGCTATAAAATGATATAAGTAGGAATAACAGGTAAAGTAGGGCGATGAATATTCAATTTTCTGTCCACCTGAATGTAAAGAGTAACAGTCAACCAAATAAAATCGAGTCCAAGCACAGTTAAAAACTCTAACTCTGGGCACAGTCCTTGCACCACTACTTTCCTTATTCTCTTATTCTTATTCAAAATGAGGTGTCTAATTTTCAGCCACGTTATTGTGACATACTGCCTTCACAAAAGTAAACTCTCAGTGTATATACACAGAGAAATGGGGAATGTTAACACATCTCGGTGTTCATGCCCCTTGCATTGCCATAGGCTGCTGAGTCCCTCTACACACTCAGGGACAAAAACATTATCAAGAAAATACTTGCATATTTGTAGAAATTACTTTATTTTCTCATTGCAAACCTTCTATTGAACATAACTGTATTGATGTCAAGAATATACTTAGTGGCTTTATGACATGTAAACATTCTCGCCTTAAGATACGCCGACTGTCCCTATGCTTGCAATGTCTCGTTCGAGTTCTGGGCTGGGAGGACACCAATCCTTAACTGTTTGTCCCTGTTCATTCAGCATCAATTGGGACCGGCTGGTTGTAAACTGATTGGCGGATTTCATTTAAAAACTTGATACAAAAGAATTTAGATGTTCGCTCATCTAATACCTTCCTGTGTACAAAAATAAAAGTGACATCACAGGACGTGTGCCGACCCGATACTCGCCTCCTCACGCATTTCCTCTAAGTTTGTTAATTTTGTAATGAGTCAATTGCAAAAATTATGTCTAGCCACTGTATCCTTCGAGCCCGAAATTGGATGTATTTAACAATGCTTCTTTTACGGTAAATTCATTCGAGTATATTACAAATTTATTATAAATAAACCGCCCCCACCCTCAAAAATAGCCTATAATAGTACCTAGAAATTGTTGCTAGGCTTCTGCAGTCTGTGCTGACTCACCCCCACCCCCCCCCCAGACAACGCTCCTGCAGTATGTGCTGACTCACACCACCCCCAGACAACGCTCCTGCAGTATGTGCTGACTCACACCACCCCCAGACAACGCTCCTGCAGTATGTGCTGACTCACACCACCCCCAGACAACGCTCCTGCAGTATGTGCTGACTCACACCACCCCCAGACAACGCTCCTGTAGTCAACATTCGCTGGCCAGGCCTTGGACTGAGAGGATGTGCGCGCCTCCTCTCCCTCTTTGGGTCAAGTCCCTCGTCCCCAACCTTGTGTTGTGATAGCCAGGGCGGTATCGTCACAATACTACTGTGCTGCTAAGTGTTTCAACACTGTTGCATAAGTCACTAGTATCAAGGGAACCCTAGAGTGAACTAGTGAGTGGCGCCTGAGGTCGAAGGCAGGCCAGCCTGCCCCCTCCGCTCCCTTAGGGGAAGCCTACCAAACATTAGTTTGATGCAGCATTGCTGGTGCTAATAACACAGCATCACCTGTACAGTGTACCTGGGACTCACTGTAAGACTCTAGCAAGAACCACAGGGCATCTACAGCGTCAGGCAACAAACAGCAAGGAGAGTTGTGGGATCGTAATCTGTCCCCCACGGACCTCTGACCATTGCGGTTAGAGCGCTGACCCAACGGTCCCCCCTATCCCTTCCCTGGCGGGAGGTTGACACCCGCCAACACTACAATGATGCCAGCTTTGTACAGAGCACCTGTACACTCCTAGTTATAAGACTTATCTTCCCCACTTTCTCTTATTCTTCTCATTTCGCCATTTCAACAGGTCAAGTGGAACGGTCCAGTGGCCCATGCGGTTACCTGTAAAATCTGGGGGGCCACTTGACTTGGGCATCTGTTCACCCTTGTAGCAGGGTTAGGCTGTCTTAGGGGGACCTTCTGTCCACACATAGGAGAACAAGTCACTGAGGGCTACCCTCTGCGAGTCCCAACCAACCAAGTGGAATATCCAAGTGTTTTTTTTTAAATTTTGCCCCGAGGGGCGAGTTTATTGGGCAGCGCCACTCATCTTGTGAGTGAACATACCGCCATAGCAGAATGTACAACACTCCCCAATAGGAAGAAAACCCGCTGGGTTGTTCATCCTGTCACTTGTACCCAGACACAGCTGGGACTTGCTTAACTGTCTCAAGTGAACAGCTCCTCAAACAAGAAGATTAACATTTATCAACCCTTAAAAGCTTACGTTATCTTGCGGGTGCAAAATGGGGAAATCTTTTAAGAACAGTATCAATATTTGACAAATAGTGTTTTCCTAACTCAAACAATGTGGGGTTTATTATTCTACAGTTATTCCTAATGTCTCTCAGGTGTTCACATTCACGTAGATAGTGGTCAAGGCGGTGTCCATCACTCTCACCACAGATTCTGCAACTTCGCTGATCAACTGTTGTTTCCATTCCAAATCTCCATGGATATTTGTATCCAAGACGGATTCTCGCTATTACAGATTCTCTCACTCGTCGTCCTCCTCTTCGGCCATACTGATTGGGATTGCCAGCTGCAACCATGTTGTACCATCGTACAGATTCACTGGTTTGTGCTTCTATCCTCCTTTCCTCAGTTACCTTGTCACGGTGATGTTGCCTGATAATACCTCTAATTTGTAGTTGAGTCTTGGGTATGAAGTATTCAATATGGTCTCCTTCAGCGCCTTCAGCAGCCAGCACATCTGCTCGTTCATTCCCACATATTCCAACATGGGAGGGGATCCACAGAAACTTGATGACTCTTCCCTGATTGGTAAGTACTCTCACAGCTCTCTTGATTTCAGCGACTATTGCAAGATTTTCTGCCTGATTTTTACTTAGGCTTTGCAGTGCTGCTTTTGAATCGGTGCAAATCACTGCACCATTAGTGTTCCGTTCAAGAAACCTTAACGCCATAACAATGGCAGTTAGCTCTGCTTGCGTTGAAGATGCATAGTTCTCAATACGTGCTTTTTCTTCATTTCTGCGTTGGAAGGTATTATCCTTGATTACCGTGTATGCTGCACCAGCCCTGCCATTGATAGGATTAGATGACCCGTCAGTGTAGATTTGATCTAGTTCATCTCCGGCTTCTTTATAAATGTCCTCGAGATACTTGTGCCTCATTTCTTGTGGTATCATGTTGGATTTTTTCATTGCCATTTCATTGATGATGATCTTACATGAGTCATCCTCCCAGGGAGGTAACCTCTCTACAGGCAGGAGCTCACGGGCTTGCTCAAGCAGGTGAAGCTCTTCAAGGTAGCAGACTGTTCTGTGATGCCATTTTTTGCTTCTCCTGTTTCCCCCTGAAATTAGCACAGAGCTCAGTTTTTTCTTGGCAATATCATTGTAATGGGGATCTCTGGCTATCCTAATTGCAAGCTTAGCATTCAGCTCCTGAATTCTGCTTTTAATACTGGGAAGGGACAACTCCTCTCGTAGATTAGACGTTTTGGCAGTTCTTGGGACTCCAAGAATGATTGTCATGGCTTCATTTTGAATGCTTTCAAGCCTTTTCATATCGCTTTGGGAGTAGGTGCACAGTACTGGTGCGGCATAGTCTATGACGGAGCGCACATAGGCTGTGTACATCATTTTGAGCACGGCAATAGAGGCTCCATGTCCATTCCAGGTCATAGCTTTCAGTGCCCTGAGTCGACTTTTGCATGTTCCTATGAGTTGATTGAGCTCCTCTTTCTTTCCCTTGTTAGAGCCGACAGTGACGCCAAGGTACCGATAGTGGTCAACCCATTCAAGTGTTACACCATTAATTTGCAGTTCTTCATTTGCTCTCCGCTTGTGATGGGAGTATGCCTTCGTCTTGTTTGTGGAGAGAGTGAAACCGAGCTCAATACATTTCCTTCCGAGGAGTTCAATGGACTGTTCAATTTTTCCCAAGGTGGGAGCTTGTATTAGGACATCATCTGCATATCCCACTTGTTGTGTTCCTTCCGGAAAATCAATATTTGCAATGGCGTTCATAAGTACATTGAATAGTGTAGGGCTTAAGACTCCGCCTTGGGGGGTCCCGAGTTCCATACTCAGTGTTCTGGAGACTGCTCCATTGAAGCAAACCTTGGCTTTCCTTCCTGTGAGGTAGTCTTCAACCCATTTCATGAGTCTCCCCTTGACACCCATGCATGCAAGCTCGTCCAGGATCGCAATCCCCTGTGCTTTGTCGAAGGCTCCTTTGATGTCAACAAATACAGAGTACCTAGCCGTGTCATTAACCAAGTAATTAACTATACAATTTGCTGTGCTCCGTCCTTTAACAAATCCATTGACCCCCTCCCCTAACCTGCCTATTTTGTGCAACAGTCGGTTTAGGATGATCCTTTCAAGCATCTTGCAAGTGCATGACACGAGGCTGATAGGTCTGTAATTACCAGGGTCATTAGGCTTCGGTATGGGAATAATTATTGCGTGTTTCCATTGTGTGGGCAACACTCCACTTAGGAATGACTTGTTAAACAGGTGGAGTAGTGGATTCCCAGACACTTCACACAGTGCATTGAGTATGTCGTAGGTGACGCCATCTTCACCAGGTGCTGTACTTTTACCCTTTTTCATAGCGCCCCTTACTTCTTGGGCTGTGATTGGTTCCCCATACTCGTCATCACTAGACAGTGCTCTTGTTATCCTAATTCTTCTGTCATCATGTCGCAGGAGCTGTTCCCTGCTGATTTCTGCAGGGAGGGAGGAGGAGGATGCTGCATCACTCCACTTGTGAATTAGTTCCTCAGCCTTACCCAAGTCGTCTGAGCACTCTCCAACCCACTGAGAGTGCTCTTCCCCTCAGAGCAGGTTTATGACTGTTGGTGCTGATGACTGGTAA